TATGAGAGAGAGAGAGAGAGAGAGAGAGAGAGAGAGAGAGATTTATTTGGTACAAGAACCATTAATTTAATTTAACTATCACTTTTTTATCGAGTAAATATTTATTAAGTAATAATATATTTAGTTGGCATTATTTTAAATAAGTATTTATTAAAATTTAATATATTTTTTCTTAATGTATAAACATTAATATAAAGTATAAATTTAATCCATGATTTTAAATTCATGATGATAAATCTGTACCATATTGGAGTTTATATTAATGTGATAAGAATTATATTTAATACTCTTAATGTTAAATCCGTATCTATATTTGTTAGAAATGTAAATTGTAAATATAATTTTCATGTTTGTGAAGTACGATATATATGGAAACATTTAGCGGTGCAATTTAATAAAGTATATTAGCCTTTGTAAATGTTAAAATAGAACTCTAAATAAGTTCAAATCAATTTAGAAAAATATACTCATTTAAAATAATATACTTCGCATTCTTCCGAACAATACATCAAATTTTGATTAAGCAAAAAAGAAAGAATGTTTGGCAAACTCGTATTTAATAGAATAGTAAATTCAGCTGCATACACCTCTGGGAGAAAAATAAATTAAATAATACCGAGAGAACGACCTAGATTATATTAATTCATACTCTCAGATATATATGTAACAATGCGTACACAGAAAAAAATTTTTTTGTGAATTTTTCGTGTGTGAAATTAAATTCTTCTCTCGCGTATCTCTTATTTCAAAATCTATAAATATTATATTCGATCGAAGTGCGGAAATATGCCTGTGTTCGCCCTTTAATAAGAGCCCTTCATCAAACCCAGCACGATGCGGCGTGTATTCCAAGATCATACTTCATCATACAGAATCGAGCACCGTGTATCCTGTGAAAAACAACAGGGGGCCTGGCCTCTCCGGTGTAAGCGTGCAAAACGGAAACGTGGACGTCGAAAAACAAAAAATATACAAATAAAAATATTTCGTCCAGAGCACCGAGAAACTTCAGACGGACGGCGTCGGTATTCGGCGTACACTATAATGCAACGTTTTCGATTCGCATATCCGGCACGCATCCCCGAGCCTATTGAAAATAGCCGGAAACGATAAAACAATATACCTGGTCGCGCTCTCGCGAGCCTCGCATCGAAAACACTTGGAAAATGTATTGAAAACACTCGAAAATGATTGAAATCAAACAAGTTACGAGGTTGACGAGCGAGAGAGCGAGAGATTGGGTGGACGGGAGAAAGAGAACTCTATCGGGCATCCCAAATACACGGTGGGGGTCGATAGTTCAGATCGAACCAACGATTTCGGACGCTGCTCGTTGGCAGGAGATACTATCAACGAGAGCAGTGGCACAGAAGGGTAACTCGACCGCGAATAAATTGGTCGTTTCGAGGTCGGTATATCCACGTCGAGTACTCTATATTTTCGCTCCGGGCTGGCCAATCAAGCATCCGGCGGATTATACAGACGCTGATTTTCGTCGGCTCATTCGACGACGTAACATAACGCGAACAAAAAATCGGTTACGAATGTTCGATGATACAACTATGTTTCTGAGGGTGCCTAACCACCGATTCTAAATCCATTTCTCGGGCCATCAGTCGCGCGTTGACGATCGATACTCATTTAAAAATTGATTCTGTTTCAGAACTGTGACATTTTTGACAATTATTTGAAAATTGAATATTTACGTCGGCGAGACTAAAATTATTGTGCCAAAATGACTGATTTAGTGAAAAATATACTGCCGGAAAAAAACTATAACTGAAAACTTCACTGATTCACCAAACCTATAGTCGTAATATATAGACAGTCAATTTTCTATGTTAAAATAACAAAGTTCATAGCTAAATAACATTAGCGATTTGTTGAACCATCAAATCTTTTTAGTTATAGATGTTGAATTTGCGCAGTAAGTTGTAGGTTTGTACCCAATTTATTTTTTTTGTGCACATTACAAATATTTTCTATTTTCTGTATTGATTCTTAAAATTTTGAGTATCGTCTGCCTATCGCATGTTGTAATTATTCATTGTAGAGATACGCGAAAAGCTTTGAGATGGCCAGAATATTTTATCAAAAGTGCACATCAAGCAGAATTATGGCGCAGATATCGGCGAACAGAATGAGAAGATGAAACCGATGAGGGAAATTGCACCACATATTAAAAAAAAATACAATGTGAAAAATGTTGAACTTTTTAATCTCTTCTGCTGAATGTGCACTTGTATTCGTGTATACATAGAACACAGAAAATTCCTAGATTCATTATCACGAATGATTATATTGTACAACGAATAATTATCTCTCTCTTAATATTTGCGGGCACAATAATTATTATCATTTAACATGGCAAATTTAACGCTCCTATTGTTAGTATTTGTGTAAAAATCATTAACGTAAACCATTACAAACTCATCGACTGATTCGTCACAAAAAGACTTCATGTATCTGATGTAGAATAATAAATATGCTGCAATTAAAACATAAATAATAATAGTTTACATAAATAATCGTCGGTATCGATGTGGCCGTTAATGAAACGCTGTTAATTATTAGATTTATTCGTTAATAATTGCCAGGCGGAGTGATGAGCCGAGCCGATAATTAACGGGACAACGTAGCAGAGTGGATGAATTAACGCGCGATGAATCCGCAATTAGGAAAAAAAACCCGCCGTCGATTCCACATGGGTATTCAGTAACATACAGACTTATGGAAGCGTAAAATATGGATAAAATCATCGCTTGTGTTTGGGAAACTATGTTTACGCGTTAGGCGGACGATGATTACACCGCTAAAGAGAATTTCAATAGGAAATTAGGTAAGCTGCTACCATCATAATTTGCTTGTAGATTACAGGCAATCACGCACAAAAGCACTAATCGACATTTTTAGCTTAAGCCACTTATCTATATAAATTTCTGTATGAAACTTATAATGAGATAATAATGTGTAAAATATCAGCAGCATTTTACAGAGATTGCCTCTCAGAGAAAATAAGAGGAAAAAAGATTTCTCGCGTGGAAATAATTGCGACTATAATAATGAGAGATGTAGCTTTAAAGTAATTGTTCGTTCACGAAGCATGACACAAATAATACAATCTCAATCGTTACTATATAGAACTGTTCTCAATTACTCGCATATCGCGAGATTAATATAGACTGTGACAAAGTTCATATCATTTGTGATTAGACAAGCAACACACATGACTATTTACTCGGCAATACTCATCTCTTTCTATCGATTCCTTGCAATATTCATCATTTAGATCAAATTGTTTCGTTTCTTTATACTTAATATATAATATACTTAATATATAACCTGGCAATATATAAAACTTCTTCATCGGAACATCGTGAAATCGCTGAATACGAAATGAATACAAAAGCAACATATATTAATACTTCTCGTCTGCCGTCAATTCATTAAGATAGCTTTTATAGGGCCAGGGGGGTAATCGGCACGATTATTGCCTCGCCTAAAGCGTCTCAATCAACGGAGCGTATTCTTGTATAGATGCGCGCGTGTCAAGGGATGGATGGGCATAAACGGATGCCGAGGGAGAAGAGCGAACGTAGAGAAATAGAAGATAATTCTCGTTGTTCCGCACTGGACGCCCGCGAGGCGCCTACCACTTCAAAGCAGCACCGCGCGCACCCCTTCGCCTCTCTTACTCAACCCCCTTCCCCCCCCCCTCTCTCTCTCCCTCTCTTCATCGAATTGTAGTTCTCATCGAAGCCAGTGTCTGGCAGTTAATGAACTGCCCTTCGGCAGTAGCAACACACTCGCCGTCTAGGAACCCAACCAAGCGCTGTAGAATCATTATCCATTTACATAAAGGACCATTACAGAACCGGAACTGATTATATAGAATTTAAACCGCGCACTCCATTTCCAGTCTCTTCCTTTCTTCAAGGAATTGCTCTTCCCTTCGCTTGCTCCGGGTCATCGCGGATTGATAACTATATTGAACGCAGCGTGATTTTCATGACCTCCGATTGTGAGAAACTAGGCGCTCTGTAGAAACTATACGATTACGAGACGATTTGCGTGTGCGTGTATGTGTGTAATTTTATTACGAGAATTAAGAATTACGAAGCGATTCGTCAATTAATGCTGCTCGCAATTTGAAAGAATTTCAAATGGTATTTGGTATATACGATTTTATTACAAGCTTATACAGCTATAGATTTATTGAGATTTTTATTTCATTCCACATTTATTTGATTAAAAAATCTATTTGTACACGTCGTACTAGAGAATTACCAAGCGAAATATATAGATTTTAACATTTTATCGTTTATCAATATATGATTTACACTTATAGGTAAAGTTCCTATAAAATCTCCTATAAAAGCTCATAAGTAAATCTATCGATGCATATCTCAGCCGCTATCGATGACAGCGGATACAAATAACGCATCGCACATATACATGCATCCATTTCTCATGGACGTAGTATATATCCACGCGCGCAGGAAAGCGGTATATCAATGTCATAAATTATGAATATGAGAGCAACATAGCGTAACTGCCAACGTTATGGATTGCACAAACTTATTACATCAATTAAAAATCAGCATGATAGACGCTATCCCTTGGCAACGTCATCGATAACTCAATGCCACGGCGTTATATTAAACAGGGGAGGAAAAAGATAAAAGAGCGATGGAAAGCAAGAGTAAAATCGAAACTACTTCCACCACCACGTGAGGGCGGTTTCGTTTCGGGTAGCGACATCTCTCCCAGTTCCCTCATCGTCAGACACAGCTGATGCTCGCCGCCAACAGCGACAACACAACAAGCAAAGCGAGTAGTGATCCACCAGTGTGACCACGAATGGCACGAACCCCCCACGACGCGACCCCCAGTAGGCGCGCACTCGCGTATTGTCGTCATCTCGTCGTCTCTTTGGGAGAGACAGTGACGAACTCTATCGCGCACTCTCTGCCCTCGCATAGAGTGAATCATTCACTCACCTGAACCATTGATGTGTGATGGCACGCGAGACAGACTTCCTCCCTTCTTGGTGGCGGCAGCCTGATGGCGTAATCGGCCAAGCCGGGTTGACGCTCACCGTACATCCGCTGTCGCCGTCGATGGTACCATCGACTTAGTACGTTCGTACGATGGGCGATGACACGCACACGATGGTCGCGCGCTGCTGTGAGCTGATCGCTCGCACAACCCCAATCGCACGCACGTACCCCCACACGGCCACACCCGCGTGGTCTTTCCTATCGTGCGCGACACGTCACGGAAAATTCAAGGGGAAAAAAGGTAAGACTCGTGCGTTTATTTACGGATCCTGGGCCTCGCGAGTTATCGGTCGGCAACGGCTCTCTCTTTCTCTCGCTCGGGGGTGCGTGCGACTCGCGGCATGTCGGCGGGTTGATTCCGCGCATGCGGCGAGCGCGCGCGCAACCGGTGGATCGATCAACCCTTACGGCTCTCTTGTTGTCTGCTATATAGATAGGACTAGATATTTTAAATACTTGTATTTCAAATACAATATTTGAAAAATATTTGACAAATTGTATTTCAAATAGTATTTCAAATACAATACAAAATGTATTTTGTATTTTGTATTTCAAGGAGGTCATACGATGTATTTTGTATTTCAAATACAATTTCAATGATTTTTGTATTTGAAATGCCAAAAAAGATCCTTGATAATAATTCTTGAAGCAACGCGAACAGACTTACTGACTGCATTCAGAAACATTAGGGTTAGCAGAGAACGAAACGCATGTAACGAAATGTAACTGTCGTGACTAGTCGGGAAAGTGCCGGGCACGCAAAAAAAATTTGGAAGTATAATATATTGTATTAAAAAGTATTTTGTGTTTAAAATAAAAAATGTGTTTAAAATTAAAAATATTGCGTATTTTGTATTAAAAAAACAAAACATTTTGTATTTGAAATACAAATTTTGGACATATTTTGTAAAATATTAAAAAAAAAATACTTTATATTTAAAACAAAAAAATTTTGAAATATTTTGTATTTTATATTTTAAAAAAGTATTTCGTATGTGAAATATAAATTTTGAAACTATTTTATATCTTGTGTTTCAAAATCAAAAGATTGAAAATATTTTGTATTTTGTGATTGAAATACTCAGATTGCCAATATTTTGTACTTTGTATTTCAAATACTTTGATAAAGTATTTTGCCCTGTACATAGAGATTCAGCGTGATAAGAGAATGGAGAAGAAGACAGCTATCGAGATTCTTCAAGTAAAAGGCCAACTTTGATTTTTATTGACTATTATAGTATTTATAGTCAATTCAATATTAGACTAAACAGCGAATCATCGCATTTAGAAATATAAAAGTTAAATTTGAAATTTTTAAGAGAGAAATAAAAAAATCTGTAAAGAAATTCTATTCATATAGACGAATATATCTGTATATTTACAATAATTAGAATGTTCGAACATATTTCTTTTCTTTCGAAATGAAAATTAATTTTACAATATTGAATGAAATAATTGTCATATGTAATATTATCCAAACTCTGCTTTAGATTATTTAATATTATGCGAACTCTATATAGTCAAGGTCTTATAAGTAGATTATATACAAGATGTTTGATAATTTACGATAAAATTCTCACATAGCAGGAGAATGGACTGATAAACTGAATCGAAAAGTCCTCTAAAATTTTATAATTTTTATAAGATATTAATTATTAAAAATCGCTGAATATTGGTTTTCAAGAATTTTTTAATATATATTATTTCCTCATGTTGATAAAAATAGTTGCCAATATACATATAAGAAAACGCACACACGGTGAAAAGTTGCAAATGGCAGAGAATGCAGTGTGCATGCGTTCATGCAAAATAATCATACAATTCATGAAAAATAATTCATGAAAAATAATCATACAATTACGAAAATATAATTTTTGTAAGCATTGAATTTTGAACCTATTATTTAATTAGATATAAAACAATCATGTATTATCTAAAATAAAAATTTTAAAGTATTATTTAAATTTTATACAAATCTATTTTTGCTACGATCTTTAGAGAACATATATAATTATTTTAGAATTATATATTTTATAAAAAAATG